ATCAAAAGCATAAAGAAATAGGGAAATCACTGAGACAGCCTGATGAGTAAAGAAAAAATAACTTTAAAAGGAAATGAAGAAATAGGAGTATAATTCTTTCTCCAAATCCTTCTTAATGAATAATATAATGAATAATAGCTATCACCGCTTTTGGTACCCATCATAGGACAAGCCCTGCTATAGGTATTTTGTATGTCTTCTCATTTAATCTAACACCTTGCAGAGCAGGTATGGTAGCCCCTTTTTACAGGTAAGTTCAAACAATAACTTATTCAAGGTCAAAACTAGTCAGTGTCAGAGCTAAAAATTAAAGCCTAGTTCTGCTCCATTCCAAAGTCCCTGCTTTTTCTTCACTAAGAATCTCTCGAATTGTCCTTTGAAAATAACTTTTTCCATTATAAAGTATTATATGGTCATAGCTTTGAATTTGGAAGTAAAAGGAATTACTTACCTATACTGCTACCACCCTAAATAGAGTAGCTATCATACCGATATGGTATTTTCTCCCAGTCTTTTTTCAAAACAGAATTGTGGCTATATTGTATATGCATTTATGTATCCTGATTGTTTCACTACTTTTAACAGACATTTCTCCAAGTATTTATAAAATCTTCACAAGCAAGCTGTAGCTGCTATGCAAGGTTCACCATGTGGATTTACCATAATTCATGCAACCATTCCTTTATTGCTGCACATTTAGGCTGTGTTCCGTTTTTCATTATAAACAAAGGTAATAAGCAACCTGGTACATAAAGCTTTACTATATTTGGAGTCACTACCTTAAGAAGGATTTACAGAAGTGGAATTACTGATTGAAAGCATGTATCATTTCTAAGGCTCTTTGTAAGTCAAACTGCATTCTGCAACAACTTAGGGAAACAAGGAAACCTGTAAGAAAACAATTGCAACTTAGGCAAGAGATGATGGCAGCTAGGACTAGGATGGTGGGAAAGGACATGGAAAAAAAGTGAATGAGTTTAAAATATATTTTGAAGGTAGAACTGATATAAAAATCTGACAAGCTAGATGTGAAGGGTAAAAAGAGGGATAAGATGGATGGATTGTGGTACCTAGGTTTCTAGGTTAAAAGTTGTGTGTTGCCATTTATTGAAATGGGTTAGAATGAGGGTAAGAATAAGCCAAGGCAAATTTCAAGTAACAGGAAAGAAAAATAAACAAACACAGGAATCAGAACATTTATGTGTGTCTGAAAATTTTAAAGAAGTTGAAGTTTATACAGTCTCAAAACAAAATGGATCTTGATAAATATGCTGTCAACTACGCTTGTACTGATTTTCATGGTATCAAGTGACGTTTTAAAGACTAGAAACAAAGAAATATCTAAGTGCAGTTTGCTAAATACTGAAAAGGAATTTAAAGATATTTGGACTGACCTCAAAAATACTACTGGAATCTTAGTGCACACACGGTTTTTATAATATGTTCTAACTTTTGTTTTTCCATGTTATTTTTTTTGCTACTACTAACTCCAAAACAG